GTATGATCGTAAAAACATACATGGACATTGCCCTGAAAGGGGTCGGAGCAAGTGTGGTTTACTCCGACCCTCGGTTGGACTAACATCAACGTCCAAGACAACATATCATGGTACGGAAGGGAGGAAGAGGTCTCAGAGTACCTGACCCTCCTAGGTCACACGACCTAAATTCCGATCAGGAGATCAGGCACAAATTCACGTAACTTACGATATTTTAGCACATTACATTCAATTTACATTATGGTCGAACAGTAAATTTAGTTAGCTATACTCATTACCAGTTGTGATCTATGTCATGATATAAAAGACTGTTTAGTGTAGATATTATTAATTTATTTATTTTGTGCGTTAATATTTTATGATTGTTTAGTTTTTTTTATAATAAGAGAGTTAAAATCATACGATTATTAGAAGTTGTGTTTATAATTCATTGATGTTGAGACTATCGAATGTCGCATGCAATACATTGACGTTTGAGAATACAGAGATTTCTAGAAGGCTGGCAGACTATTAATTGATAAACATCTGAATAGTGTAAAACGAGCGGAAAAGACAGACATATAATAGCAGAAGAAAGCAAAGCCATGGCCAAGGAAAAGTTCGGCGTGAAGATAACTGCCGTAGAAGTGATATGCCTAACGATTCACATAGGCCTAACGTTTAATACGTTAGAGTAAGACTAACAGTAGAATAGGAGATAAGAATAATAATTCATTCCATCAAAGTGTGGTTCTAAAGTAATTGCTCTCAGCCTGGGTTTTCACAATTCAAGAAGAGTAAACTTGTCAGGTCTTAGTTAATTTATTAAGAACTATTGCCTTTATTTGGCCTAAAACCTATAAGCATACCAATAAATGTTGAGTATGCATTAACAAAATTCACTAACATCCATTTTACTAGAATGCAAATTAAAAAAAGAGGATCATACTAAAAGAAGCTAAGAATCAATGTATCAAATTTTACCGTATGTTTGAAAGGAGCAGAAAATGCTGTGTTTTTAACTATCTAAAATGGCTACCTTTCGATGTGCAATTTTCAAAAGTTTCCACTCTACCCCCTATTTGAGTGCTGCGTGCCTCCACCATGCAAGGTTCACACGACCTACTTTCTCAGTATATACCTCCCCTTGAAACGTCCTTACTGAGTTAGCAGCTCTGTATTTGTTTTAGTTTTAATATCGTATGGAAACATTTCTAACTGATTTGTATTCTTTTTTTCATGTAGATAAATTATGGGCAGCCCCGGAACTATTGCGAGATGAAACTCTCCTGCGAAAAGGAAGTCAGGTTGGAGATATCTATAGCTTTTCTATAGTGATGCAAGAAGTTATCGTCAGAGGGGAGCCTTACTCCATGCTGCAATTATCACCCGAAGGTGATTTCTTATTTTGTATCCTCTGCTTTTTGAATTGGGGTGTACTCTTATTTAATATCACTTTTATTCGAGGATTTAAATTCAGGGCTTGCAATTGAAAATTAAACTGAAAGATGTGTAGAACAGCTCGCTGAATGGATAAGATAGTTTGTATATCTTGTGTAAGTTAGCCTTTAAATCATATGCGATTTAATGAGTCGCGTTAAGTCATGTTTAGACACCACAAATTTTCCGATTTTCATCAGATTGAAACCCATCCACACAGAGAAAAATGTTTGCAGTTGTTAAGAACGTGTTGTTGAGCTAGTCGGCCTAATTTAATAGTTGCAGAAAGTAGGTCACAGCACAGTGTGGGCTTTTAACCAACCCTGCTCAGAATAAGGTATTTTCAAACTCTGAACATCAAGAAGCTAACTACTACGCCTCCTGGGGAATATTGCATAAGTTATAAGTTGCCTCTGCGTAGCTACTAAAGAAACTCTAATCTCTAGTTGATGAATATAAAATTAGCACTTTATATATGACACTAAAACCGTTAAACGCTTAAATAATTTTTATTCTAAGTACGTATGAAAGTATTTGAATCTATTCACTGTACCATATCACGCAAAAGTTGTTTAAAGTAATCAAATCAGTTGAAATTAAACAAGTCGGTAGTTTCGTACCTTTATCTATTAGGTACTCATTTAAGTAAGAATTAGGAGATTTTTTTCCATTCCCTGAAATATGCTCATATGCGAAAAAGAATCAAATCTACAATACCATAATGAAGAAACATAGGCTCTCTCAGTGGCTCAACGATAAGCTTGAGGCTTTATAATGCTAAAGATTGAGATTAGATCTTTGTCGTGAACATCTCCCTTTGTGCAGCTTTACATTTGAACAACAGATAAAGAACCGTGATCCTTTTGTTTCAGGCTGGAAGGTACAGGAAACACCATAATAACAACGATAAAAGTTTCACAAGTTCATTCTTAGATACTGGTTTTTTAACCAGAAAAGCCCATATTAGAATTTAAATTACATTTTACTGTAGGCTGCTACCAGCAATACCTTTAGCTAAATTCCAAAGCTACTTAACCTTGATGACCATAACCGAAAGTCTTGGTGTAATATAATGCCAAAGCTTGAGAAGCTTGGAATCCCTTTATTAAAAAAATGAATGAAAAAAATGTTTTCACTCTTCAAGGTTCACTTTGATTTGTAGCTTTATGTTTTCGGGATGCCCCAGGGATTGTCAAATGATTTTTCAAACAGCTCACACTCACAATAGAAAAAAAACACGTTAATCAGTTAACTCATGAGCATAACTAGTAAAAGTTCAACCTGAAAATGTTTGTTCCGAGCCTTAACGAAACTAAAGACTAGAAAAGAAAGAGAGTAAAGAGAATAGGTCTGGTTGGACTTATATGAAGGTGAGAGTTAAAGGTGGAGCTCGGATGGAGATGCAAATATTTGTATAATTATGAGCTTCAAGTCAAATGTATCAGTTTAATAGTAGTACCTTGGTAAATATGAACTTCTTCGCTTCCATAATGTTTCTGGCAAATTGTATCTTGTTTCGATTAAAAGAGTAAAGAATGCACAGGCTGTTAAACTCCGCAGATAACTGGAGGATTTCATATTTGGTTATTAAGAGTGGTTGTGAAATTAAATATACGTTTATTTTGAATACACCAAACGATCTCGTGAATAGAACGAGCATATCCACTTCTCATTATTCGCAGTCTACACTATTTTACGACTGACGATCTGCGACTATCCATGGCTTTCAACCTATCCAAACACCCCGTTTTTACACACCTTAGGAGCGGCATAAAGTGGCACGCTCTTTCCGTTCTCAAACTACCACAGTTCTCGTCAGTGATCACTACTCCGTTTACAGTGGTGGCCGATCTCACATGCTGCTGTAAGGTGCAGTACTTGTCTGAAGTGCAGTAGATTTGGTTGCATTTATGAGAGGATTCCCGTCGCAGTGAAACTAGGGCGGAAGAGAGGAGGCATGCAACAGACGAATTCCACAGCGTGAAAAACCAGGAAATTTCACAGTAATGTTGGCAAAGCACTGTACAAGCCAGGTGCTTTTGCTGAGACAGAAGTTGACAGACCTCGCGAAAGGTAGGATAGTGAAGATGTCTCCAAAGTGTGTCATCATACTCATCCTATTCTTGACCCTCTCCCATTTGTCTCATTTCACCTTCTTTGGTTGTGTATGTCTGGCACAGGCCAGGTGGTTAGGGCTCTCAACTCACAATCTGCGGGTCAAGGGTTCAAATCCCCGCCACACCAAACATGCTCGCCCTTTCAGCCGTGGGGCGTTATAATGTGACGATCAATCCCACTATTCGTTTGTAAAAGAGTAGCCCAAGAGTTGGCGGTGGGTGGTGATGACTAGCTGCCTTCCCTCTAGTCTTACATTGCTAAATTAGGGACGGCTAGCGCAGATAGCTCTCATGTAGCTTTGCGCGAAATTCATAACAAACAATGTCTGGCACAAGAACGAAGTGGACGAAGACGCAGCCGACGCCATATTACTCGCACGTGTAATGAGAATCGCGATACAGTGCATTTGCACTCGTGGCAGCTGGTTTTCTTTAGCGCCTCACGGACAGACGAAGAGACAGCACTAGAACAGATATTACTCCATGATACTGTCGCACAATGTTTCCCAACCTTTTTCGCCGCTCATGCCCCTTCTAATAAATTTTAGACCATTAAAATATTTTAATAAAATAAAAATTGTAAGGCAATACTTGTCAATTGCAAATTTTAAAATCTTTTATTTCCGCAAAAATATACACCATTATTGTACACGTTCATAACTATTAGTTAACTGCAAAAAGGAACAAAAGAAAATACATCGTGGTAACACACACATGAATAATGAATTAATTGTTAATGACTAACTTGGACTTGATGACCCTGTGCTTGCCACAAACACACCCACACAATGATTTGCCTCCCACTGGCACAGTGGTATGTACGCGGACTTATGCAACTAGAAATCGAGTTTTCCATACCCGTGGTGGGCAGAGCACAGATAGCCCTTTGTGTAGCTTTGTGCTTAATAACAAACAGAAAACACAATGATTTTTGCTCAAACGTGTTGAAAGAAAAATATCTGTTTCTTAGGGTTTAATTTTAACAAATATAACTTTGAAACCCTTAAAACCTTTCTGTCCGCCCCCTCAAGGTTTACTGTCCCCCTGAATTTTAAAAACACCCATTAAGGGGATGTACCGCCCAGGTTGGGAAGCATTGCTGTAGCAGAAGAAGAGGAGGATTGGACAAGTTCCCAAATATTTTGCAATCGTCGTTTTGTTTTCTTATCACCCAATCATAACTAGACATTGAATGGGCACAAAACAGACCCTAATATATATATATACTATGAGTAATTGTCACGGGAAGGATGCCCACCCCTCCCGGATTCCATCTACTTGCTACTTGTTATTACGAGCATGAGTTGTTGTATCACAGAAAATTATGTTGATTTGAGGTTTTTCAGATCATTCCCTTTTTACGACTTTAGTCGTTTGTTTTTTTTGGAAAAACAGATTTCTGGTATGGGTATGGACTATTTTATCTCCCCAAAAACCTGCAATTTTGATCTGGTTGATGCGTTCATCGGGTGTTAAGCTATCATCACTAAATAATACATTTAAACATTTCATATATGTCTACATGGATCAAAATTAAATGAATAACTATTTTAAAATTTAAGCCTTAATGTAGAAAAAAGAAGAAAGAGCTGTAATCTATGTAAACTCCATAGGTAAAACAAAAAACAATCGTTCACTGCTCATCCTCGCAACCACCAAGTTTCGTCCAGCTACAACTATCACACCATAAACATTTCGAGGTACCGTATTGATTTATTTTACATGTAACGAAACAAACGTTTATATCCCTTTAGCAGGCCCGGCATGGCCAGGTGGTTAAGGCACTCGACTCGTAATCTGAGGGTCGCGGGTTCGAATCCCTGTCACACCAAACATGCTCGCCCTTTCAGCCGTGGGGGCGTTATCAGGTGACGGTCAATCCCACTATTCGTTGGTGAAAGAGTAGCCCAAGAGTTGGCGGTGGGTGGTGATGACTAGCTGCCTTCCCTCTAGTCTTACACCGCTAAATTAGGGACGGCTAGCGCAGATAGCCCTCGTGTAGCTTTGCACGAAATTCAAAAACAAACAAAAATCCCTTTAGCAAGTTTAGAGAAGAATTGGAATTTTTAATTTCAACGACACCTTGTGCGAAGCGTGGGATAAATTATCAGGTTTATTGCCCATAGAGTTCAGGCACAGGCGTCTCTACTTGTGAATTAAAAGCGGGAGGACAGCCAGTTAGCAGCATTTACCGCCCAAGGGCTTTGTCCAGCTCTTTTTTTTTTTTTTGAAAAAATAACGGAGCTCACTGTCAGTTTTATAATGCACCCGCAGCTAAAATTTTGGATGATGTTCAGCGGCATCAGAGCTCGAAACTTGGACGACCCTCAAGCCTCAGCAGCAAGCTAACTTCTAGGCCACGCCCAGGCCCAAATATAAAGAGTGTTAACTCTTAATTATTAATTTATTTATGTTGGATTAGAAAAAAAATATAACTTTCGGGTTGAAATTAACTATTATATTACGGTTTATTCTTCAGCTTTATGATTTATACTGGGGAAGCAATGGAAATGTTACTATATGTATGTTAAAACATAACCTTTGGCTTCTTGAAAACATGACGAAATGTTCACCACTTAAACGCCCATGCTTCACTTTAACAACTTACATGTTTTACACATTCAAGTATGAAAATAGAAAAGTTAACGTAATCCCTTTTTCATCCTAGAATATGTAAAAACTGACAGATCTTGTGCAAAGATGTTAAATAATAAAAACGTTGATCTTCGTTTTATTATTTTATTTAACATACTAGAATTGATAGAAAAACTAAAGCGACCTCCACCACTCATCAGACCATCAGTGTCCAAGCAAGCAGCGCCACCTGAAGCTATCAACATCATGAGACAGTGTTGGGCAGAACATCCGGATGCGAGACCAGATTTTGGGCAAATTAATGAACAATTCAAAAGACTAAATCAAGGAAAGTAAGTAACTATGAAAACTTTATGGATGTTTATAGAATATGATGACGAACACAATGTTGCCTGTGTTTATATAAGAAGATTGACACAATGCTGCCTGTGTTTATATAAGAAGATTGATAAATAGTAGCAAGAGTTTACATAAGAAGACTGACAGAATGTATGGGAGTGTTTTTTAGGAATTTTAACAGAATGTAGTTAGTGTTTGTATAAGAAAATTAACAGAATGTAGCGAGTGTTTATATAAAAAGATGAACATAATGTAGCAAGTGTTTATATAAGAAGATTAGCAGAATGTGACAAGAATTTTG